GCTCCTTGCAAAACTGTTGCTAGCACATAGAAAAATGGAAAGTGAGATCGAGAAAGCAAGAGCCTTCCCGCAGACTGGAGACACCCATTCAGGAAGGGGCAGGGAGGTGGGATGGACAGAGGAGATGGGGATGTGCTCATCAGCATTTAAACTTCCCCGACTTAAAAAAAGAAAAGAAAAGAAAAGCTGCGTGGTCACCCCGAGATTTGAAATCTCTGCCTTCCCCATTAAAGGTGGGAGCTGCAGCTGTCTCCTCTCTGAGTATCCTACTATCTTGCCAGCCCAGTCCTTGTGGAGGGCTCAAATCTATTTGCGACACGCACTGGGAACCCATTAACCTTCAAAGGCCAAGAGGAGACCTTCGAGCCAGATGCCATCAAAATTGAAAATTGGCCTCAGTCTCCCTGTTCTCCTTTTTAATTATTTCAGAGAGTGTTTCATGGGATCAGCTGGGCATCAAAGGAGACTTGAACCAATCATCTAGTGAACTCCTTCCTCCGCATGGCTCCAGAGCAGAAAATTTTACTTGCAAAAGCTCCAACAGGCAGCATTCATGGTAAAATCTCAATGTGAGCACAGGCAACCTGTTTGCCACCCGTGCTGCTGGTGCCTCTCACTTATGACATTGGAGTCCCACCCGCCAAGCCCCATCAATGACCCTCAGTCCTCATTGCCTGCCTACTTTTTAAAAGGTTCGTCCCAATTTTTTTCTGGTCAAGGCAGGAGTTTCTGGGAGTGGGCACTAGCAGTCCAGGGAGACCTCCAGTCCATGCTGGTTTTTGTCAGTACTGGCATATCCATGTGCTTTGAGGACTTCCAGGATTTCCATCCCTCTCTCAACCAAGAGGCAGAAGACATCAAGTGGACCCACGGCAGAACTTTTGGATGTGGATCCTGATTTGAAACATCCAGAAGTTGTCGGATTTGGGTTTGCTCCTTACAAGATGGAGATTGTGGCAGAAAGCCACCTTTGTTTCTCCCTCCAAACTCTGCTATGTGACAGTTGTGATGAGGATGGGCCCAGCAGAGAGAGACATCCTTACCCTATCTCTTTAGGTAATCTGAGCTGGATACATTCCTGAGGGAGGGGGGAAACCTGCTCCCTCTGCCTACGTGACTGGCATCACATACCTGGGCGAGGGGCTTCCTTCCTGGTGGGCTAGAGACTGCCAGTCTGCCCGGCAACTAGCGATGTATTTCAAGTTGGTTGGCTCACAGCCAACAGGTGCTGGCCTCCATTGGATCAGGTAAATGAGGTCACAAGGGCTATATAAGTTAAGGACTGCTCAGGAGAAAGGGGGCAGCAGCCATGAGAGAGACTCGGAGACAGAGAAGAGTTGTACCATCTGAAACTGGCTCTCTCTCTTAAAACTCATGGTCAAGGAACTGCCTGCCTCCAGAGGGAATCTCCACCTGCCTCTGGATGATACTCGTGAGTAAGCTACCTGAGATCTAACTAGACATATAGCTTGCAGTAACTTGATGCATGATTAAAGGCTACCCAGCCACAGGAGTTTGCTCTATGGGATTTCTCTGATGTTGCTCTACCCTTTACCGTATTCTAACCCTACGCTCTGTAACCAATAAAGTTCTCCTTTGTACCTAGTGTGGGAGACTTATTGAGGGGTGGGTCTAATTATGCCTAGGAGGCCCCTTGGGTCTGCGGACTAAGGGAGACTATCCTTTTTGGCCCCCGACTTGGGGAAGTGCCCCAAGTTCTTGTATTGGGTCGAGTACCCATAGGACTATTAGGCCTGTGTTTCCCCGAGGACACAGGACCCAGACAGTCCCTTCTCGGGGTGATGGCAGCACACGTTACCCCCGGACTCCATGGTGGGACTCAAAAGGGGGTCTGCCAGAGCTTAGGTGCCCCTGGAGGGACACGTGGAGTCCGGAAGATGGACGGGCGTAGTGAGGTGGGAGGCTCAACGCAGGAGCTCCCCTTACTGG